CAAAACAAAACAAAACAAAACAAAACAAAACAAAACAAAACAAAACATTAATCATACTTAATATAAATTTGCAACTGAGCAAAGGCAAAACTGGCCAGACAAAACTCTGTCTTGTTTCAACAGACGAGAATAGGGCTCTTGGATCAAAATCCATGACTAGTGCCAAATAGGAAATCACCATCACCATTTTTTGGTAAAGCCAATCCTGCAGGTGTAGATTGGGGTGTGCATCGAAGCCAAGCAAAGAGAGCAACAAGCAGTGAAGGGGTCCTGCTGCCTCAAGCCCGTGCTTTGAGTTTTTGTTAGTGTAAAGCATAGCAGGGAGTTAAATTGGTGAGAGCAACACACTTCTTAGAGAGGATTAGTTTTTATCTGGATTGTATCCAAGATTTGGCTCTTGGTGAATGACAGCATAATTGCTACTACCAGTGCAGAAAACAGAGAGCAGCTTGGGGTAGAGGGGGCAGTTCCCATTCAGCCATTCTTAGGCTGCTGCACAACCTCACTGATGGAAGCTCTGCTTCTTTTCTTTAGCCTTTTCTTGAATGGGTTGGCCCATGTCAGTAAGCAGTGGATTTTACCTGAATGAAAAGTGGATGTGCTAATTCAGGCAGGTGAGATGTGGCAAGCACTCGCCCAGGCAGAGCCTGATGCATACATGCAGGATCTAGGATATGAAACAACAGGGGCATGTGGGTTAGAGGGTGAACAACTCTTCAGATGAGCCCTGAGACTTCTAATGTTTGTGTCTAATGGGAGTTAAAGGAGATATTTAGTTATTGGTGCCACATTTAGGTTTTCATTAACATGCAACTTGAGAAGTTCATCTGGTCATGGTGTTAGCTGGAGAGAACTGGCATATCTCCATCCAGGTCTGGAGCCAGCCTGAACATCACAAGCAGAACATCTGGCCTACAGGTTCTGAACAGCTTTGCTGCACAGTAAGCCACACACCTCTTTCCATGTCGTTCTTAATTTGCTCTTCCAAGTCTTCTGGAGACACAAAGAACTCCTGTTCTTCCCCTTCGGGTGCTTTGGGTTTGCACTTTCCACAGCAGCAGTTGAAGCAGCAGCAGAGGCAGCAGCAGAGGTAGCAGCCTGTCAGGAGGCCACAGACTGCAAACAGACCCTGGGTTAAGGACAGAAAGGAAAACTCCATGAGCAGTGACCTTCCTGAAACTTGTGGCAGCCTCTGCAAAGAGGCTCATCGAAGGAGCTCAGGCTCCCACATGCTTGGCACTCCGAGGAGTCCAGCAGCTGGACATGGGCCTAAGTAAGGACCAGACCTTCCAGAGCCCTCCTCACCCACCAGCTCCTATATGATGCTCAGGATCACATCTGCCACCAACCAACAGGTCCCTGCACGCCCAACTCCTCAAAGTCTGTCTTCAGCTGGCGGCCCTCGGAAAACACCTCCAGGCAGTATGCAAAACCGCACCCACCTTACAATGACTCATTTCCATCTTAAAAATGACTCATTTGCCCAAGCTCTTTTTCTCAAATGCTTATTTACTGGCAGGTTCTTGTCAATAACAAAGCCAAGAGAAAAAGAAGCAAAGACCCAGATGCATCCCACATAACTTTAGGCACTAAACTAAGGCATCTAAATTAGGACTGTAGTCTCCATGAGCTTCCCACCTAGGTGATGGAAAGTTAAAAGCTCTTCCAGAGGGTGATTCAGCCCTGGGAGGACTTGAGTTGCCCATTGGAGGTATTTCTTTCTTCTATTTAGCCTGCGCAGGAGCAGAGGTGACAGCTCCTAAATTAGACTTTTTGGGCTGTGGGTTCTTGATCTGGGAACTTTGGTAACAAGAAGCTCTCACCAGCATTGACCGGATCACTGTCGTCACTGGTGTGAAGTGTGAAGTGTGAAGGCTTTAGCAGAGCCAGCATGGCTCCTAGAGCCGAGAGCAGTGATCTCAGCCAGATCTCTCAGCCAGTTTTCTTCCTGCAGATCAGGTCACTGTCTGGGTTTCCAGCACAATTCCACAAATACTTGTGCTCCACTACTCCACTGAGTGCCACATGGTGATGGTGGGACAGGGGCTGCAGGAGGGGAGTCTGTAGGATGGCACTGACTTCTGGTTTTCCGAGGCATGTGCCCAGACCTGTGCAAGGTGTTTGTGGTTAAGAGGAAGCCTCCACATGTCTTCATGGACATAGTATTATAAGAGAAAAGCAGAGCCAGTGACGTTCCTGAAAGAGGAATTACAGCTGATATGTGGAATATGCTTGTATAAAGACAGAACACCTTTGTGGACACCAGATATGCATGAGTTAGCTTGAAGATATATCCGAGCTTTAGTGTTATAGGTATCCAGGCTGTCCTTTACTACACACAGTTTGACTTACATGCTCTTGCAGTTATGTTCATAAATAAATATGCTGGTGAAGAAGAAATAAAGCCCAGATTCCAGAGTATTGTCAAACTTTGACAATGAAGCTGTGTAAATAACAGTTATGTCTCAGGCAGCATTAACTTGAGCTTTGAAGGTAATAAGATCATTACATGTATAATATTTACTATTAATATGTTTGCAGGCTCAAGGCCAATGATAATCCATTCCATTCACAGATATACAAAGAGTGGTCAAGATGTCTTTAAAAGACAAGAAGGACTCAGACATACTGTTTTAAAATGTTTTCCTTCCATCTGACATCTGAAACTGTTAGAAATCTCAGAATCCCTGACAGAAGTTAAACACCTGTTTAACATTTATGGCATAACGGAGAAAAAAATCAGCACAACTGACAGAATGAAAAAAAGAATGAATGTGTATAAAGCCAAATATATACTTGAATTTATTAACAGTACTTTAAATGTTCAATTTTTTTTTTAAATTTAAAATATCATAGTTGGTAAATCAGGAACTCTAATGTGATCAATAAGCTGTCTTCACAGAAGAGGGAAAATTGCTTTTTGCTATAATAGTTGAATGAACAACTCCTTTGCCTGCCAGTGGATGAGCAGTTCAAGCACCCATTATTCATGTTAGTATGTTCCAAGATTAATATGACTGCTAAGAAGACTGACACTTCCAAAAAAGTAATTTTCACTTTGCATTTCTCTTTTCATTTGATTTTTTTTATTTCTAATGATGCACCTCCTTGTGATTGTCCGATTTTCTGAGTGTGAGTGTGATAGGGAAGAGGATTTACCAGGAATTTTGGTAGTTGAAGAAGATAAGGAGCAAAAGATGTTGCCTCTACCTTCTTCAGACCAGAATGGAAGAAATTAGAAGTACAGAAATCATCTACAGTCAGATTTCAATAATATTCTGATAGATCTTACAAAAATCTGAAACTGACCCAGCATTTGTACATGAGAAAAAAAGAGATGAGGAATAGTGACCTCAGTTTGGAAAAAAAAGAAAAAAAAACATTTCATGACCTGTCTGTGCTTTAGAGGTGGCAAGTTTTCGGGATGGAGGAGGGACAGAGAGACTGCTGGTAACAATTCTCAGGTGTTGCATATTTTGGATTTCTCCTGGGTATTCTGCACAGAATTCTTAAAACCCAGGAAGCAATGACAAATTTTTCTGGAATATTCAGTGTATCTCTTCTCATCTGTAAGATATAGCTCCCTTCAATCTATCCACACACTCCTTTAGCTCTTAGGGATTTACTAGTTTCTCTCCAGTTTCTGTTGCTCTTCTTATGAATCAAAGCCAAAGCAGTTATTTCTGTTCCTGATATGGTAACCACAGAGGATCTTGCACTTCATAAAATCTGTTAACAGTCAGCAAGCAGAAGAGGAAATAAAATCTAGATGTGAAGAAAAACTTGTTTATCAAGACTGCTTGAGGAGTCAATACAGCTGTTCTCTCAGCTCTGAGGGAATGCTTCCTGGCACCAGAGCTGTGACAAAGAGGTTGAAGAAGAGTATGAAAGGACAGCAAAGGGAAAAGGGAAGGATCCATCAGTGACAGAAAGCAGCAGTGAGGGAGTCCAGCCTGCAGAAGGATTTAGCTGCAGCAACTGCAGGTAGGCAGCCTCCAGGCAGCTTCTGAGGAGGTCACTCCAGCTGTATGGCTGTCATGTCAACGTTGGGAATTTTTTTTGCATTTGAAACATTTCCATATGATCCAACGTACAAATTATGGCTTCCCAGACCCACAGAACTGCGCAAAGTGATCTCCCTGTTGCAAAGAGTGGTGAAGCACTGGCCTGATCCATCATGAACACAATGCGTGTTCCACCGATCTCAGATCAGAGCTGTTATAGCATGCTTGCTTCGTGCAGTTCAGACCATTTTTCATTTGTTCCAGCAGAGCCCTTGCTTTCTGGTCATTTTGTTTCTGGGAACTGGTAGGGAGAGCATGAATTTTGCATGCTGGTTTGTTACATTTCTGTAACATCTCATTTCTGCTGAAACACCAGAATTTGACATACAGAAACACTGGGGGACAACAGTGACATAATAGAACACACAAATGCAACTCTTATCACTAGAGCACTCCGTGATGTGTTTTCCCTTGAACAATATATCAGCATTTGATGCATCATGCTCTTCTTTTCCTGATCTCTTATTCCACTCCCCAGTTCTCACTTCTTCCACATCCCTTCTCTCACCCCCTCACCACAGACTGACAGGGCACATATATGGCACCATAATCCCACAGTGTTATGTATTATTATTGCTTACTTATGCTGACTGCTATATATAGCAAAGAACACAGCTATATTTGTACTGTAATAACTTATTAACTGGTTGTCACATAAGTGGGCCTTCTCATTTTTGAACAATGAGTCACTTTTATTTAGTCATTACAGAAAAGAAAGTCAAAGTTAACCTGAAGCACCAGATTCAAATCTAATTAATGTCTGAAAGTGTTACAAAATGTGCATTCAACTATTTACCAAGTTAGAAAGAAAAAGATATTTTATATTAGCTCTCTTCTGAGCTGATGGTATATCTGCCACTCTTTATTTTCCAATATTTATTATTGCTTAATTACACTTTTATTAGCATTTTAAATCCTGATCCTACTCTATCAAATACCATGTTTTTCAAAGGATTCCTTGTATATGTAAGCACCTGTGTGCATAGCAGTACTTTTCAACAGAAAATAGCAGCTTACCTTTGCCCACCAGCTAGAGAGCATGAAATACGTGTTAACATTTTCCTCCCCGAACTGTTCTGCCACGTAGAGCCCCAAGGATCCATACTTGTCATATATGTTTCTCTTGGAGAGATCAGTCAGTGTTGCATGAGCATTGTTAATCTCCTTAAATTTTTCGGCAGCCTCTGGATTGTCAGGGTTCTTGTCAGGGTGATATTTCAGGGCCAATTTTCTTAAACAGGGAAAAAAAAAAAAAACCACTAAGGAAAAAAAAATCTGTAGTGTGTACATATATGTTTATTTACAAAGATACAAATAAAGCATTGCAAATAGACTCAATTATTTTGAACACGGTGTTCACCCTGGGCCTTCTTATTTCCAGATCTAATGCATGCAGAGTACTCAGTGAAAGGAAAGTGACACTGCAAATGAAAGGTGTTTTTTTCTTTATTTGTTTAAGAGTTGTTCTGCTTACACTAAGCATGACAGTTGTGCCTTGATACTTAGTCAGCTCCCAAGGTCATTGAGGAAGAGATGCTGAAAGCATAGATTTTAGCATAATAATAAATCACAACCATTTGTTGCGCTACATTGCACTACATTTATCAGGTGATTTGCATCCATTAGCAGGTTTCAACGAAGGTAAATATTTTGTGAAAGTTTTTTTAAAAAAAACATTGTTTATCCCATCAAAATTATCTTTGTAGCAAGTGTTTGATTGTTTATCAACAGTAACTATATTAAAATTTGGTAAACAACATCTGTGTTTGCAGGGGCTTAGACAGTGATGAGGAAGAATAAATGAGGGAGTTGAAAGAGCATCTTTCTGAAGTACATGATGGAAAGGCATAGTGAATTAGCCCCAGTTTCTGATGCCTGCCTTTGGGCCTAATTTGCCAGTGCCCCATTTCAGAAACAGTACAGCAGAAGCTGACTGCTGACTGCTTTGGGCTGTCTGTGCTGCTCAGGCCTTTGCTGGGACAGAGCTCAGTGCTGTCGCTTTTCTCTGACTGCACTCATTGCTATGGCATCTAAGTACAGCTACAACTTGTAAGCAGCAGCACAGGACCATAGGTTCACAAATAACACTGGGGACATGCAGCTTTGGAGAAAGGAAGGTTGGCTTCCAAGCACGCTGGAGCAGTGTGAGCTCACATGTACCTGCAGAACAAGCACAGACGTGTATCTCGTCGAAAATCTCCGTTCCCTTTGAAGCAGTGGCAATAAGATTTTCCCAGCACCTTTATTTAATGACTAGTGCTGACCTCTAGTGGCATTAAAAGCGATTGAGTAGTGTGTTCCCTTCCGCCATCCTCCCCTAAGCCCAGTTAATGGGATATTTTGTGAACGTCCTTTCTGAGTGCTTCCTGCCCATTATGCCAAAACAAACAAACAAATCAACGAATTAATGAGAAAGTAAATAAGTAAATAAATTGTGATACGAAGGCTGTGTGCCCACATTTACTTTAATAAATCTATCCTCTGAGAGGGGTACTGCTTGACTTTCTAATGAAGTCTCAGTACACATTATTCACCTGGTAAAATGCTACTGCTTTGCTCTTGATGCAAGTTCATGTCTTGGAGACATTTTAGTGATATCAGGACTGATATAAACCTGGGATTAGCCTCTGCCAACAGTCTCTCCAGTTCTGTACACTGAACTCAAATAATCTTCTCATAGATCATAGCAACGCCTTAAACATATCTCTAATAAAATAAATAAGCTCATGTTCAGCCAGATTTAATATACTGTGCATACGGTACCTTAAACGTAATAAAAAAGTGGAATAGGAAAACTGGAGAAACAAGTTAATTCTTGCATGACTAATGACATAATGTACCATCCAAGTATTTAAGTAGCTTATGCAATCTATTCCTTTTCTTAGCTGAAAACAAAACCTAGCAATTATAATGAAAAATAGGAGACACATTGCTCTCAAAACTCATGATTGGCTAGAAGGATCAGGCAATCAATCTCTGGCCATTCTCCAAAAAACTAACAGACCCAAAGACCTCTTCTGCCCTCTTCATATCCCCTCAGATCTCATAAAAATAATAATTTGAACTCTATGTAACTTCAAAGAGTGAAAAATATGCTAGTTGCATGCTGCTATAGCTTAGTACTGCTTTATAATGTTAACAGCATTCAACAAAGTACTGTTAATAAAACAGGAGACATATTCTTCAGTTTTGGGAAAACTCACTAAAAATATTACAATAATGAAACAGCTCTCCACACATGAAGATAACATAAAATAATCAGTGATAATTTAGTAGTGGGACAGAGATCTATATGCTGCACGTGTAATTCTCATGAATGAGAGAAAGAACTCCATTAAGTTCAGCCCAAAAAACAGAAAGAGTGAGGACAAGAACTACAAGAAATTGTCTTCTATGACAGGGTTACAGTGCTGATGGATGGAGGAGGAGAAACTCACATCATCTACTTGGACTTGTGAAAAACATCTGACAGTGTCCCACACCACATCTAAGCCTCCAAATCAGAGAAACAAAATTTGATGGAAAGACCATTTTCTGGAAAAGGAATTGGTTGGACAGCAAGGATCAAAGATTGATCAAAATGAGACTCTCCATTGAATGGCAAAATGAGTAATTTTTTACTGGAGAGAAGCAGAATGCCTTATTGCGAACACACTGGAATGTTTCCCGACAAATGGGATTCTGCATTTTACACGGGAATTTGTGAGAAGAAGAAAGAATAGTGATTGTCAGAAAAGCATAGAGTATGGAGAGCCTCACTTTCTCTCAAGAGAACAAAGAAGTGGAATTGTGTCCACAGGGACTGTGTGCAGGCGGACTTGAACATTAGCTGCAAAAGCCATGGAAAATTGCTAAGTAATACTCAGGTCTTCATACAGGTGGAGGTTGTTTTAAAATGATCACAGCACAGCAAGGAGTGTAGAGCTTGGAAAAAAAAGTGATGTTGTGTGAGCTACAACTCTGGCTACAGAGAATAGAGAGAACTCCTGAAAGCAATTTGATGAAGTATTAAATGGGATCTTTAGCAAAGAAAGTGCTTCTCAGCATCATCTCATCGCTACTGCAATGGTGGCAGGAATACCATGCCCATTTGGAGCCTTTGTGTTCAAAACCAACTTGTTAGCTCTGAAAATGGAGAACACTAGCATGCTAGCTGGACTTTTATCTGGCAATCGCACTCACATGCAAGAAAGGATCCATCAGTATGGACTTATCCACAGCATGGCAACATGAGATTTTTCTCTGGAGTAAAGCAGCCTCTTATTGCGTGCACAGACTGGAATTGTTCCTGACTAAGAGGATTC